GCCGCAGCCATTGTACCTATTTTGCAATATACCAACGTTAATTAAATTACAATATGATGAATTAGTTACCCTCCACAATATATCGTATCTGTAGTATCGTCCAAACGCACCAAGGGCGTGGTCTTTTCCCGTAAACAGCCACAGAAAAGGGGCGGGATTGTTCAGTTCCTGACAAGTGTTCTGATTGACCAAAATTATGTCGCCGTAGTTGTCATCTTAATCACATTTAAATCAAGCACGGAAACAGATATCTTCGTTTCTCTAGAAAAGATCGTTTCACTAAGATTTAGGCCCAGTTCAGACGTCGTGCTTCTGCCATGCCGAATTAAATTCAGGAATCAAGCTCGACAAAAGCACGGCGTCTTTTGAATTAAGTTCGGCAAGTAATTAAGTTCGACAAGCTCTGCCGTGCTAAACAACTCTGGCACGCTAGCGATTCAAATGTCGCGCCTCTTTCGCGTCAAACAAAATTCGTAAATTATAGTAATGTATTTTGGCGGGATTGCGTTCCCACGGGGACTTAGGAGGAGAATTGTTACGAGGCATCAGTAAATTCTAAATTTGATTCGACTCTGGCACGACGTCGGAATCAGAGTTGTTTTTCTGCCGTGTCATAGTCGACCCAAATTGCAATTGAGTTCGGCACGGCAGAAGCACGACGTCTGAACTGAGCCTTAGGAACATTTAAGTCGCCAATTATTTCTCCCTGCATGACATTTTAGTTTCCTTTTCTTTCCGTGTCACGAAATAAAATTTAGTTTCGAGAAGTTATTTTTGCTGAACTTGTTTACCTTGTGAATTACAAGCGTTTACCCTGATAACATTCACTATGTCAATAAATCACTCTGAAACGGAAAACAGCACTATTTCTTTGTTGAACTAAACAAAACTAACTGCTTCCATCAGCTCCAAATATCGCATTGGTAGACAAGTCGCTATCAAGTCCAGTGCGCAGTTTTCTTGTGTAAGATAATACCGAGAAACGAGAGTTTCACTGAAATGTTGCAAATGACA